GTAACTAAAAGTCTATAAAATATTAAGGAACTGCTGAAAATATGTGAATTTGTAAAGGTAGTTAAAAACAAAAGAAATGCGTTCACTTAGATTTCATAAATGTATGTTAATTCTGGTCAGCCATACTACCGGTCATCATCTCAGAACTTATCAATACGTCAATAAAGATCAAAATATAAACAGGACTCGTCGTTATGAAATGCTTGTATATTGCTTTTTTATGCTATATGCAAGCAATATTTGTTTCAAATCAGATTAATTTTACTTTAAATTTGCTAATTTTACTCAAATGACGTGTCACAATTATGTATTTTATATTTGGAAGATTTTTAAAACCGATAATTTTATTTTGTTTGCAAATTTAAAATTAAGAAAATGGCAACTTTTAAGAAAATTTTCTGAAATCGACCAAATATTTGAGATTCCGATCTACATAATTTCTAGTTAAAATACACCAGAATATTTTACATACTGGAAATAGTAAATGTAATCATTTAGTTTTCAATTAAATCTAAAATAAAATCTTCATTTTGAAAAATTCATTTTAAATCTTACGTATCGAACATTCGGTGGAGGTACCTATTCTAAATGCTATTCTTAGGGAGACTGTGATTAGGAAATTTAAATTCATTAACTGGAAAGAGGTGTTCTTCTTGGAAAACAAAATTATAATGCAAAAAAATAAATCTATGGATGTGAGCTTTAGGTATGTAGACAGAATAGAACTTGTTTAGAACCACGGAGTATAGGGCATTGTGTAGAGCTAAGTATTCTTTAAGTATTCTAATTTTTTTTTCTAATATCAAATATTTCCTGTATGGAAACGGTTATTTTGATCATTGCCTTTCCCCGGGTCACAGTTTGTTCATTATCTATCTATCTATCTATCTATCTATCTATCTATCTATCTATCTATCTGTCCCAGTCTGTTTGTTATCTATCTATCTATCTATCTATCTATCCTAGTCTATTTTGCTATCTATCTATCTATCTATCTATCTATCTATCTATCTATCTATCTATCTATCTATCTATCTATCACAGTTTGTGATCTATCTATCTATCTATCTATCTATCTATCTATCTATCTATCTATCTATCCTAGTTTGTTTGCTATCTATCTATCTATCTATCTATCTATCTATCTATCTATCTATCTATCTATCCTAGTCTTTTTGCTATCTATCTATCTATCTATCTATCTATCTATCTATCTATCTATCTATCTATCTATCTATCCTAGTCTGTTTGCTATCTATCTATCTATCTATCTATCTATCTATCTATCTATCTATCTATCTATCTCCTTGTCGTAATGCGCTGCATGCAGAATGTGGAACTATCTCAAATAAACTAAAGACTTGCAAACTTCCTCAAATTCCCCTTTTTAAGATCAGTGGCAATTTCCTTCCATTTTCAAAATTCATTACAGACAGCTTTACTTTGATCGCATAATAATTACATAATAGCATTTAAGAATTAATTACATAGTGTTTCAAATGTTTCTGTCAAGAACCACCTAAATTCTGACCTTTCATTTCTTTCAATAACTTAGTCATTATAAATAGAATGTAATTTGCAATAAATTAAATATGACTCATTTTTTCAGATATATATAATTATATACAGATTTTAATTTTCCATAATTACATATATTTTTTTGCAGTTGATTCTTTGAATTATCTAAATTCATTTCAGAATATATTGTCCAAAAATCTTAAATTTAAAAACATTTACAATAAGCGCCCTAATTAATTAAACATACATTTCGATTTTCGCTTTTAAAAGCAATTTTCTCAAAATGTTTTCGTCTTCGTTTTCTTGAAGGAAAATGTAATCTCGTGTGTGTGTCTAAATTAATATGAAATGTGCGAAATTTAAAGATGAGTTGTTAAAAATAATTTCGAAACTTTAGAAATATAAGAGAATGTTATCAAAGCAAACGTTAGAGTTTGCAACATTTATTCTTCAAGAAAATGAAGTACAATAAAAGAATGTACAATTACATTTTATTAATTCAGTCTTTGCTTTTTTTTCTTGCAAAAAAAAAAGAAAAAGAAAAAAAGATTTTCCACTACGCAACAAGTTGCCCATGATGATTGTGCAAGTATGCAAATGACAGATGCAAAAGTAGAATTCTGTTAGCGTTTTATGTTATCGAGGTCCGTTCATATCTACCTAACTGTCTGTCTGCCTATCTCTCTATCTATCTATCTACGTTAGTTTATCCATATCTATCTATCTATCTATCTATCTTAGGCACTTCTTATCTCTATGTCTGTTCTTATCTATCTATCTATCTATCTATCTTAGGCACTTCCTATCTCTATGTCAGTTTGTTCTTATCTATCTATCTATCTATCTATCTTAGGTATTTCTTATCTATATATGTCAGTTTGTTCTTATGTATCTATCTTAGTTTATTCATATCTATCTATCTATCTATCTATCTATCTTTTTTTAAGATCAGTGGCGATTTCTTTTCATTTTAAACACTCAGAAATATAAGAGACTCCTATTAAAGTACAATTACTGTTTATTTTGTTTTCATTGCAATCAAAGATTCTTCCTCATTATACAATATATGCAACATATATATATATTTTATGTTGTTATTTTATAGATACAAGTATTTAAGCAAATGCTCTGTTTATGATAAACAGTATTAAATAACATTTACCGACCTGAATGTCCGAGAAATTTTCATAGAAAATTATCGTTCTTTGACAGGATTCGAACCTGCATCCTATACGGAACCGTCATATACGCTGACGTGCCTTACCGCTTAGGCTACAAAGAAGCGTTCGGTAGACAAGGTCGATTTTATGCTTATAAACTTTCATTTTCATAACTGCTTTGTAGCCTAAGCGGTAAAATTTGACGGTTGTATAGGATGCAGGTTAATGTCAAAAACGAAAATTTTCTATGAAAATTTCTCGGACATTGGCCGGTAAATGTTATTTAATACTGTTTATCATAAACATAGCATTTGCTTAAATATATATCTATAAATAACAACGTGAAATATAAAATATGTCTTTAATAAATAAATTGTCGGACCTTGTCCATTTCGTAATATATATATATATATATATATATACATATATATATGCAACATGTTTTTCTTTTGATTTCTGTTATCGGAACAATATACGAGGTCTTCACTGCCTTAACTGGTTATTGAACTCACATTGCTGAAGTCGCAGAAATTCATACACAGATGTACTTAAGCACACATGGCACTGTGGATAAAGGCGTTGGTTAGATCCTATGACAGGACCCAAAGAGCAATGTGAATTCAATACCTGGTTAAGGCAGTGGAGAACTTGGAGAGGTGAATTGACAGGAGATAACTGATAACAGACATCCATTAGACATGGCACGTGGAAAAAGAACAGTCTAACCCAGCGAGCGAAAGAAAGGGTTCAGTTTGACAAATCTAAAAAATCTTCATTGGCTTGTCCTTGCTCGTGCACCCAATTGACGAATGGTCAGCAGGTTTCAGTTCTTATGTCAATTGAATTTTGTAAGTGTGTAGGGACAAATCTTTTGTCAAATTTCGATGTAATGTTTTTGTGGAGATGTTCAATTCCTTAAACTTAATTCACAATTAAAATCGGTCCAAATTATTAGAACACCCTATAAATATATTTCTTCATAAAATGTTTCAAATTTCAAAATTAGTTATTTTATTTTATCGGTAAATTTGCCAAAGTTCATATTTATTTTTATTTTATTATTCTTCTCCGTGTATCATACTTTCTCTTATATTAATATTATTTCGCTTATCTGTCATATGTTCATTTATATGTACACTAATTGCCCTAAATTCGGACAAATAAAAAGTCTACCTACGAGGGAATGTGGTGCATGTGTGGCCTATGTAAGATTTAATGTTGTTTGTTGATTATTAGTGCTGGAGATACAATTCCCCAAAGGACATAAGAATGCATTTCTGTTTGAACGTCCATTTTCGTAATAGGCTTGGATGACTTTAACACGTTGTTTGATTGTCAATTGTTACATGGTTGAAATTACCAAAGACTTAAGTTGTTAAATCTGAAAGAAAAAGAAAATGATCATTAGGCGCTTAAAGTTAATTCACATTTAAAATCGGTCAAAGTTATTGGAACATCCTATATGTTCGTGGGTGTGCTTGAATATTAAATCTTTAAGAGTTTTTTCCCGCTAAGTTGATGTCCCTCGTTCGGGATGAAAGAACAAAATTCATTGACAAAGGTGTGAAATTCATTGGTAAAGACGTAAAATGTGAGTGCTTGTCCACAACATTACTCTCTCTCCTTTGAGCTGGCTCTGTTTGGAATTTCAATACACAAACAGACGAAATAATCTCAGGAATATTACAAATGACAGGCGAAATGCTACCTATAATACGTCTAAATAATTCTAAAGGTTTTATGGTTGAAGGTTGATTCGGAGGTTTTCTTTATTCAGCCTACAATGTTACTGCCAGCTTTGTCATCTATTCAGTAAACAGGAGAAAAATCATTGGTAACCGATGTCCAATGTGGAATCTGATATTACACTTGATTGAATCAGTGACAATGGCGAGATCCCAAAATCAGTCAAGTGAAGGAAACCTTTATTCCCCTCAAGAGTTATCGTTCCTGAGCAGACTTCAGAGAAGCGTGTAATAACAATAGTTCGTTTGTTTATGCATTGAAAATAATTCACAAGCGTACAAAAAATCCCGGGTCGGATGAAGTAGGATGATGTACAAAGATGGGGCTTAGAAATCGGCTCGGAATGAGTGAAGTAAAGAATAAAGACACGTACTTTTAGGGTTTAAAACAGGTTCGGAATAATCGTAAAAGTGAAATAAAGAAACAGTAAATATATTGGGAAGGTTCTGAAAAAAAAAAAAGGAAGGAAGGAAGGAAGGAAGGAACAATGTACAAAATAAATTGGGAATGAAACAAATAAAGAAGGAATGGAAAACGAAATTATCCGTATGGCTTAAAAATCTATTTAGAATAACG